AGCCACACAACCCTTGACTGCCAGGGCTGGCACCTGCATCCACGGGCAAAAATTGGGGACTTCAGCCACCAAAGCACAACTTTCCAGGAAGATATTCACTGGTGGTTGAGAGAAAAGAAAGGAAGAGCCACCAATTCATTCACGTAAACACCCAGAGAACTGTTTTTATGTAAGTTAAGTCTGAACTGCTCCGGCTTGTGATGTTGCCAGAAATAATACCAGACTAACAAAAGCACTGTTCTCTTAAAAAAATGTAGATGGGGTTTTTATACGTCTTTTCTCGACAGACTATTAAGTGTCACTCTCAGTCTCACTACAGCTCTTCCACAATGAGAAAAATCACAGTCCATTAAGTCTTTCAAATGGCTTTACAAAAATATATATTTGAAGTGGATTTAGTGCTGGTGGAAAAGGACCAGACTGACAGGACTGGAAGACGAGGTTTCTCTTTTACTCTCAAAATAAGCACTACACAAACAGCAGAGACACAAGCTGGCTAAGCACTTTCCCTCAATGAGCCTAAATTTTCTGCCCGTGGAGACCAACGCCACAAGCCAGGGGACAATGCAAAGGCCAAAGTCTCTTCAGACCCCGAGACAGCCACCGAGAAATCCAGAAACACCAGGTCACACTTCGACGGGCTTCAGTTCCTGTCTCGCCGAGCACTTTTGCTTGTTTTCCATCAGACACATCTCTCTTCCTATCCACACGCTTGGTCTTCAAAAGGAAAATTAAATCTCTATGACAGTACCTCTACAAAAGAGCAAGAAAATAGCTAAGGTACAGAATGGAAAAAAAAGATGAAGCAAAAGGCAAGCATCAATATAAATGGGAATAAAGAAGAAGAAAAAAAGTCAACGGTACAAAAAAAAAAAAAAGTGTTCTTTTTCATCAGCACTGCTGCTGGAAGTTATTCCAGTTAAGATCAGAAAGCCAGATGCTTGAGCCATGCTACAGATGAGCTTTGGAAAGACTCCTACTGTACTCACTCAGATATTAAAAGTTAAAGTCATCTGAATAATGGGGCTTAAGATCATAAATCAAGGGGTTAAACATTCTGATTTAAAGGTTACACACAATTATACAGAGAGCTCAGAAGCTAAATAGCTGGGAAGCTCAATGCAGAACGAGATGCTAACTACGGAATAACAAAGCTACCGTATCCGTCTATTATCCAAACATTAAGGGTTTAGGCATTTAAACCTTTAAACAGATGGGATATAATCCATATGTGTGACCACATCTGAGGAAGGATTTGTGCCAAAATGGGACGGAGTCGAGAATGGCAGAACTCCTTCAGCTGGAAGAAAAATTAGTTTCCCTTTATAAGGAGAGGACTGAAAGCGTACTGTAGCGAGGGGAGCTGCAGCGAGCAGTGGGGTCACGCCGGGAGGCCAGAAACTGGGGTTTTTCAGGCACGTTCAGCGAGACTTTGGCCAAGGCACTTCCCCTCACCTGAACAGCTCTGCCAAAGCAGCCGCAGTGGGCTCTGTGGTTTCCACAGCAGCTTCGCAGACCCCAGCAAACGCTGTGTCCCCGACGGTGCGCAGAAACCCGGGGCCTCGGGAGGGCATCCCCCGGTCCCAGCTCCACATGCTCGGTGACAAGTCCTGTCTTCAACTCAAAAGGAAAGCTCTTGTCTCCAATTAAAGAACATCCTCCCACTCCTTAAGATCATATTTTGTTCGGAAAGAGGTTGGGGAAGGGGGTTAGTGATCTTTAGCCACAGTACAGAGAGTGCTGCTAATAACCCGTACCCTGTTCCCAGCCATGCTGCTGCAGCTGGCAGGGCAGCGGCTGAGCCTCGCAGGAACATTTTCGTGCAGACAGAGGAATCGGTCTTGTTTCAAGCTGAGTCTTTTTTGGCAGAAGGTAGAGACTTTAAGCTACTAGGTCCAGTTTGCTAGGGAGTGTTTGCAGGCAGTGAATAATCAACCCCCTCGACACAGAGGTACAGTGGAAGAAATAAGATGCTCCGGAGGACATGACAATGCTGATACACTGCCATCCTCATCAGATATGGGGGATGGATGTTGGCTGAGCAAGCACAGCTCTCTCCTCTCGGGAATGGGCACTGCCAGGTGAGGAAAGCTGTCCTCAGTGCTTGATCAGATCTACCTCCTTTTTCCTTCACCCAGTCTTCATCAGACCACATTCAAAATCTTCCTTTACACTCATGATTTCATGCGTTTAAATGAGAAATCAGATCTTGGATCTGGCCAAGGCTCATTTGTGACTCTGCCATGTAGCAGAACGGAAAAAGAAAGTCCTCCCACAGCTCCTCTGGGACTTGAAATGCTCCATATAAACAACGCCCACTGCAAGGGAGGGGAGGGGAATCCTTAACAAGGAAAAACTTACCAAGGATCCCTGACAATGACCAAAGTCCCCAGAAAGGGCAGTTTTCACCCTGGAAAGGAGTCCTGGCAGCACCGGTTACTGGTGCCTTTCCCACCGCTCCCCTTGTGCAAGCACACACACGTGCCAGCACGGCGCTGGGCAGGGTGGGAGAGCGCGGGCAAGAGCTGGGATCCGTGTTTACATCTGGCAATATCCGAGCATGCACACACACATACAGGTGAGAACCTGTATCATGGGAAGCCCCAAATTTGCCAGCCCTCCCGCTGGCGAAGGGCCCTGTGGGGCTCCTTCCCACTCCTCTGCCCCTCCGTGAACCGAACTCCCACCAGATGAGTGTTGGACCAGTCAAGCCCACACCTGTTTGCGCTGGTGCATCTGCCTTGGCTCCGGAGCCATGGGGGCCTGGTACAAATAGGGACTACTCCAAACCACATGCTGAGAAAAACCATCTGTGTTTAAAACAGCTCCTCGCTGCGTGTTTCTGCAGGCTGCCCTGCTCAGTTCAATAACCAGCATCCACCAAATCTACTTCTCCCAGCTCCCCTCCGCCAGATCGCTCCGTCTTCTCCTCTCTCCCATCATCATTTAAAGCCTGCGCCACGTGGTGCGGTCACACCGGTTTCCTACCGAAGAAGCTATGAATGGAGCGGGCAGGAGCTGCCGTGCCTTGGGACAGGACACCTGCAGGGCTGACGTCATCCCACACAGGCAGCAGCAGGCAGCAGCAGGCAGAGATGACTTGTTTATTGCTTCCTCCATCGCCCACTGCCACGAGGTCAAGCCAAAGCAAGCAGCCACCAAGGGAACGAGCAGGGTTATTCCTGAATGAGAGCTGCTAGGTCAGCAGTCCACACGTGAAACACGTAGAGCGATGCACACGTGGGGCTCTACAGACCCCCCCAAAGCCTCGTCCCACCTCCCTTTGGCTTCAGATAGCACAAGGAGCCCTCAACTGAAGTAGGTGAATATGCACGGCTTGACACAATAGGCTCAGCTGGAGACTGCTCCTGCCTGTCTAACATGAAAACTGGAATAATTACTCCTATTTTTTGGCTGCAGACACTGAGGCAAAGAAAAGAAAGTGACTTGCCCAAGGCCACACAGCAAGCCGCAGCTCAAGAGATAGGGACGAAGCCCATAACATACTTTCTGTTCCCTCGGTTGAGATACTGCTCGGCAGCCCTCATGCAGATGGCCTTGTAACTAAGCAAACTGAGTGGGACTGAGATCTAGATTTGTTTTCCAGACTTGTCACAGATTACTCATGTGATCTTGAGAAAGTCACTTCATCTCTTTGTGGCCAAGTTCACAGTCTATGTATCCTACAGTCACATACCCAAGTCTGCATCTGTGCTTTTCTTCATATCCTTCTGAAGTTTTTTGGTCTGATCTTCCAATCTGAAAGATGGGAGAACAAGGCAAAGTCTGAATCTTGGAAAGAAACAAACAGAAGTGTATCATACGTGCAACAAATCATTTACGGGCTGAATATGCTGGCTTCTGTTGTGAGTTAAAAATATCCAGGCGAGGCTCTATGAAGTTCAGCGCTGCCCAACCTTTTCTGGTTGTTTTCAGATGCTTTTCAACCTTTTCAGGTTGGGAATCTCTTATTCAAAGTCACATATTTTCTTAAGTCCTCACGCTTACCACAAATGGGAAAGTCAAATGCTTCCAGATGATAAGTGTGAGCTTATGTGACACAGTCGGTATGGTAAAACCAATATTCGTCCTCAGAGGTGTTGAGCTGTTCGGTGACCCCACAGTTTTCTGGTAATTTTACACTCTTTACTTTAGAGCTGCCATAATCTGCAAACCTCAACCCCACTGGAAATACTTCTTAGGGCACCTTTGAACACCCAGCCACCAGAGAAACTCTGAAGAATTAGAAATTACAGGGCAGCAAGTGATTTGTTGGGAAGAGCATAACTGGCTAAAATTTCCTGGGAAGATGCAATAAGAGGGCACAACAGAGAAGCATGCTACTGTTCCTGTTCTACCAGTGCGGTTGATACTTACTGCTGAAGCTTTCCATATTCCCTTTCAAAGTCTCTCTCCACCTGTGGAAAGAAGAGATGGAAATCAGCTCGAAGCCACTGCAGCAGAGCCCGGAGTGGCAACAACCTGCGCAGGGAAACCTGTCCTCGGGAAATGCCTACGTGAACCCAGGGAAGCATAAGCTGCAGCTATAATGGGAGTTAGGCTTCAAAAGTAAACGAAGTCTCAGTTTTTGTTGGGTTTTTTCCTCCAGACTCTCTTAGAGCAAAAGACACTGCCACCAACTGCCTCAGCTCATTCCAAGGATGTGCTCCAGCACATGAATTGGAAGCTGATAGAGTAAATGGGAATGCCTTAAAAGCAGAGAGATCGCAACTTAGCACGCACTGACGCAGGCACCCACAGCTCAGCTCGGTGCTGGCAGGGGACGAGCCCATTTTCTCTTCCAGCGGCACGATCGTCCCAGAAGGTGAGAGGAGCCGGTTCTCATCCAGCAGCATGCTGCGAAGGACCCCTGCGGTGGGTCTGCAAGTGGCTCGCTCCGAGCCGCTCTCTCCTTCCCCATCCTCAACAAGATGTTTTTTTTTTTTCCCCCCCAAAACCCTCAAGCCATTACCGAGCCCTCCAGTCTCCGTATTATTTGCCCCCTCGAAAGGCTCCTTATTCCTACAACAGCTCCCTCTGATGAAACACTTCAGCTGGAGCAGCGGTCCGAGCGGACTGCGGCACCTCGCAAAGGGAGGAGAAACCTGTGCTGGCGAAGAGCGCAGAGCTAAAGAACAGCCTTCTCCCGATGCTACATCAATGACTGCTTCCTCCTACTTGCTATCTGGCAGCAAATCTCCAGTGATACAAGATATTTTAAGGAACTTTCCTTCCATGCTGACTGTTTTAACACACACTTAAACATTCATTCCACACCTCGTCGACCAAATAAGCAAATGGATTTCAATTGACCAGCCAAGAGTAAATACATGCGCTTTTGTTGTCATGGGATCAAAACTAGGTTCATTTGTGTTGTCAAGCTACCATGCTATTAAGGAAATGCAAAGTGTTGCAAGCAGCCAGGACTAGAAGGATCCAAAGGTTTGTTCCAAATCTTCATGCTGTCCTCGGGATTTCAAACCCAGGCTCAATGTAACAGCATTACGTGAAACCAGAAAGCTTAATAGGGACATTTGCTTTTCAATCAAAATTGCTATTAAAAGACCAGTATTTTAAGATGGAGCCTAGCAATGCCAGTTTTCTTGAAACCTCCTTTTCTAATTATCTTTTTGGTCTGCACTTTCAGATACGCTCGAACTCCACAGCGACACGACCAGCCCGATCTGAAGGCAGCCGGTGACCGGTGCAGCGAGCGTGCCGAGTTTCAGCCCCATCCCCAGCGGACAGCTGTCCGCACCATCAGCTCCCACCATCCGGGGGATGCATGCTGGCTCTCTCTGCCGATGAAAAACCTCCACCGAGCTCCCAATTCCCTTTCGTGCTGCTAAAAATGGTCGTTGGAGAACAGGCATGGAGCAGTGTGGGGGCAGCTCACACGACTTCTGCCTGGTTCACAGTTCTGCAGAAATCCGCAGCAGCTGGTGCCTGGAGGTCAGGTAACCAGCACATAGTAAAAATCACCCTCGATTTCTATGGCTGTTCCGGCTGCTAAAATAACCAGGGAGTATTGCACTCTATTTATATGCCTTATGTGTGAATTGTTTTGGTTGCAAATCAGAGAGGGTCGGGCACGACTCAAAAATATGTCCTTTGAAGGCTTGTGGTATCCTTCCCCTGGCATGGAGCTCCAGCCCTCTTCACGTTCAGGAGGCTCAGCAGTCGGTTCCTCCAAGAACCGGAGGTTTTGGTCATGAAATGAAACTACCTGTGAAGAGTCACCGTATCTTTGTTGCTGTTTGATTCCCCCATTTACTGTGCAACGAGCGGAGATGAGCAAAAGGCATCGTTGCCTAATGAATATGAAGGCAAAACTTCCTCATCCTGCGACCCTCCGGGTGACGTGAACCCCCAAATCTTCCAGGACTTCCCCAAAACACCCAACCCAGATTGCCCGTGTGCTTTCCACATACGATCGAGGTGACTCTACAAGGCGGCACTTCAGCTGCCCGGCCTGACTCACGTCTCCAGTGCCATCTATGCAGAGACAGCTGCCCAAAGATTGCTCTTATTTTTCACGCCCACAGTAGCAACTGGCTACCAGTCATCACAGTCTGCAGGCTGATGTAGCCCTCCCAGTCACCGCTACTCTCGTTCGCATCGCAGGAGCCCAGATATACGACAGAAGCAGCGAGGAGCAGGGCACTAGACAGATAAGACCTGCTCTCACGTGCTCCCACCGTGCAGATTTACAGCAGCGACCGGCGCATCAGAGGCGTGCAAGGAGGACGAGCTGAGAGCGAGCCAAGTACATTTTGCAGAGTACGCAGTAATTCCCGCTCGCAGTAGCTATCATCAATGGCCACACGTATCCGACACTTACGGCAAAAGGCTATGGATAGGATTATCACGTTAAGAGTAACGAGAACAAGAAGTACAGGCAAGAAAATTACAATACCCTGAAGGGAAGTTTCCATAATATTTAAATAATCCCACTTCTCTGTAGCCTCTTTCTGAAAACTCAAAAATCAAAATGTGTTTCTGTATCGAACGCTTTTTCTTCTAGGCATACAGGCTAGTTAATGCAAGATTGCTCGTCTCTGGGTTTTTATTTAAATCTACATAAAGAACGACGAGTTCTTAAAAGCACTGAAATAAAACTACATTCTTCTTTTTTCACCCAGTTATTTTTGTTTACAAACATTGGGCCTTCCACCTGCGATAACATCCCTCCTGCTTTAAGGGCAATATCATAATCGACACCGTGGTTACAAGGCAACGAAGCAAGACCAAAGCCCATACTACAAAGAGATGGAAATAAGGGACTGTGATGAACCTTCTTATTCCCCTGAGGTTAATTTCTTTTCCTGGAGGAGGAGGACTAGCTGATTCCTACATGTTCCAGTGGTCTCACCCTCTTCGTGGGTCTTGGGGAAAAAGAGGAAAGCATATGCTTCCTCCTCCCTCCTCTCCAAAAGAAAAAAACCCCCACATAATTAGGCCAGAAATTCTGCTGTAACCTGGAACTTCTGCTGAGCTTTTGCCACTCCATCAAGTCAGAGGAGATTCAAGGCAAGTAATGTGGGTGAACATTCACTCTGTGTCCGACAGTGGAGCCCGGAGCTAAAGCAATGCTGCAGAGCGCAGGTGTATCTGGGACTTCACGGGCTTCGCCACCCAGCAAGCTCTCCAAATCCCCATCTAGCAAGAAAGCTTTCAAGAAAAGCTGCTTAGGTGGCATGCCAAAAGGGAAAAAGGATGCACCTCCAAAGTGCAGAGACTGGTTACGTCCCCCTGAAGATTGAAGGAAGAGAGTGAAAATGAGCAAAATTATTTAACTGGCGTCACTTGATTTCACCCCACCATTTCTGGGACATTTACTTCGTTATTTTGGGATTTCCAGCTTGCTGGTGGAGCCCAATGGAAAGGCACTGACGGCCAGCAGCTGCAGTGGAATCCTCCTGCTCATGGAGCTCCTCCGTCCGACATCCCAGGGGAAGGCAGAGCTGCTGGGATGACTCAAGGAAGGGAGGCTTGGCAGGCGTGCGGGCCCACAGCTCAGGTCTCTGCTCCCTGCCAAGCTGACTCACCCAAGGTTAGCCAGCGAGGAGGAGGAAGGCGAGCCATCTGAGTCAGCCCAGAGCGCTGCCGAGGGAGGGAGGGAAGGAGGGAGGGAGGAAGGGGTAAAACCTGGGGGACACAAAGGGGCTGCGCGCTGGGTTGCCCCATCCCAAGAGCTGTCTGACTCCCTCGACTGCTGACCTGGCTCTGCGCCCTGTGGGGACATGCGGCCGGCTCTTCTTCCCGGCTACCTGCCGGCTTGGATAACCCGAGCCCCGGTGAAGAGCAGGGTACAAGCTCGGGGTGACGCAGATGAACTTCAGCGAGCTGGAGCTGCGACAGAGCTCAGAAGACAACTACAGCTCTGGTTCCAGCGTAACCTCTGCTCGGACCGAAGTTGTCCTGGGGGAGGGAAGAACATCTCTGCTGTAAGAGGCTTCATCGCTGCATCGGATTTGAGCAATAAACATTCTGCAGAGAGATATAATTCTAACAGGTTTAACTCCTATCACTGGGCATTAGTTTAATTGGGCTGTGTTACTGTGTCCTCTGTGGCTCCGCTGACAGCAGGTCCCCTCTGCGCATTAGATCCTCCCACCCGGCTCCTGGCCTCTCGGCAAGCCCGGTGACAGCTGCTCTTTTCAGGGGAGAGGAGGGGAGAGATTATGCTGTCTGGAAGCGGATTTGCCCAGGTTAAGGTGGAAACAAAGCAGAGGCATGTCTGGGGGGTGGGAGATCACTTCAGTTCACCAGCTGATATTTTCTATGGGAGTTTCCTTCTACCTGAAGAGCTAAACTGCGGCTGACACCATGCCCTTCTTCAAAGGATCAGAAGCGAGTGGGCATAGGGAGTCATGACTAATTCCCACTGCAGCCTAGGCAAATTGCTTTTCAGTACTACTGCCGGCCTAGATGTGACACCAGCCCCAGCATCGTTTCATCAAGAAAAGGAAAAAAAAAAAAAAAAAAAAAA